ATATATTATTTATATAATAACAGCTATTTATAACCAGGCCCTACAATAAAGCCACCCAAGCACTAGATGAATAAGTCTGCCCCTCTTTTCCGTGATGTTCTGCTCAGCAACTTACTTCTCTCACTGTACGTCCCACGGATCTTGATGGAAGTCAAGTTGTGGAGAAGCTTCTGGAAGTCAAATGCTGTAAGAGCAGGCCTCCACGGGTAATCTGTAGCCTCATGGAGCCTGTGGAGAAGAGCCATGCATCAGCAAAGCTTTCAGATGTTAACAGCTGTGCTCTTTTAAAGCACCCTTTCCAACAGTGGTATGCTATCGCAACATAATTCACATACACTTATGCAATGCTGCTAGACAGTGAGCTTCAAATTAACCTGATAAGACCACTCTTCTAGGCTAAATTAGTGCTGTTTGTTTTCTCAAGAGCTTAGAGGCCAGGGGCACCACAGGCTAGGTCCCAGCTACTCCTACTGCGTCTAGAGTCCTCTTACCTGAAGGTGTAGATCAGCGCGTTCTCGCTGGGGTAAGGGTTACCCTGGGCAATGAGTGGCACTGACACTCTCAGCCCAGCCCCTTCCAGCACCACATCCTCTGCTGAGAGGCGTGTGTCCCGTCTATCCACGCGGAAGGAGAAGGTCAGGTTTTGCCCATAACTCAAAACCTGGTTGCCCAAGAAGTTTCCTGAAAGAGGAAGAAATCCTTACAGATAGTGGACAGAAAAGAAAGGGCACAAGCAGCACAGAAAGTCTAGCTTCTCAAATGACCTACGTGGTGCAACAAAATAGATGGGGAAGTAGCTGTCCGAGATAACAGATATATCCTGGGTCTCTGCACTCCACTGCAGTAAGACTTCCGAGCCATCACGCTGCTCAGCATGCCACTCATCCTCTCCTGAAAAATCAAACATGCAGGAATTAACACCCTTTGAAGTCATAGCTAAGCACACACTTCTAATGTCATACTGCACACCACTCATCTACAACTAATGTACAGTCTGTACATTGACACCAATAGGCTTCAGAAAGTAGCTCTGAAGAAGAATGTACATAGGAAATAGCATCTTGGGGTTGGAACTAGATGATCTTTAAGGTCCCTTCCAATCCAAACTATTTTATGATTCTAGGAACTTCCCAATTTAAGTCCCTAACATGAGTGCTGACTTGAACCCCCTGAACTTGAACCCCATGACAGCTACTTGCTCAAATCTTCTTTTCTAAAGAGCTTAAGCAGGAACAGGAAAACCTGCAATCCTCTATGACCTGATGAGAGTTCCAGTCTTTGTATGAACTGTTCCCCAGTGGAATTTTAATTAAAAAGATATTCTGTTCATTCTATGCAGCATGGAAACATGCATACACAGGAAACTGTGTTTAAAAAAACAAAAGATTCTTCCGGAACTTACAGACCCATCAGAAACACAACTGTGGTTTACTCAGAGCCATGTAAATGCCAAATCTAAAGTGATTAAAATCCTCTCAATAAGAAACTCCTGATTTAGTTCTAAAACCAATGAAATGCCTTCTTGCCAGCACTTCTCTCAAACTATAAGAGGTTTATATTTGCAATTCCCATTTGCACCTGCACAAGTGTGCATTAGTGCTGGGTGCCCAAGGCCAGAGCTGTGAATTTATTCCTCCCCAGCTGAAAAAATGAGCTGCAGACATGGAAGCTCCCAGTAGCTTCAGAAGTAACTCAGCATTTCCAAAGATGGACCTGCCTGCCTAAGATTTGTCATCTTCCACAGAGAGGAAAGAGCAGGGGGTTTCTATTGCTTCTGACTTGATTGACAGCCCAAGTCAAAACACAAAGGAAGGGTCAACTTTACCAAACTGGAAGCTGGAGGTGATGCTGTAAATACTGTAGCCGATGGCATTGGTGCAGACAGAAGAGTGTCCAAAACAGAAGCAGGGAGTACAGCCCCTTGGATTGGAGGAATCCAGATTGAAAAATCCAGGTTTGCATCTAAAGATGTGAAGGAAAGAGAATTAATTTCCCTTGCGCCTGCCCAAGGCCATTGCACAAATGTTTCTCATTCTTGAAACAAAGCCATGGGAAGAGAAAACTACCTCTCACAGTGAAAGCCTTCAACATTTTCTTTGCATGTACACCGTCCTGTCTCAACACTGCATTCCCCTGTGCTGCCAGCTAGGTTGCAAGAACAAGGCCTGAAAGAGTCAGAACAGAGGATAACTCATTCATAAAGCCACACAGAGAATGCTTTAAAAAAGATGCCTAGTTTTTCTTTTAGAGGGCTGCAGTCCTGCTTACCTGCACCCAGCTTCGGAGAGGGAGTGGAAACCTGGCTGGCACCGGTCACACTTATCACCCATCACACCAGGTTTGCAGCTGCACTGGCCATAGCTGTCACACTGTGTGCTGAGGGACCCTGCAGGGAAAGCAGGGACAGGCACCTCAGCAGACCCACTCAGCTCTATTAGCCTGCAATTTTTTTTCAACTTTACAAAATGGACAAGAAATATGGGAAAAGAAAGTGGGAAGCATAGCTTCAAGCTTACAAGTGACAGCTTACCTAAAGACTAACTCTAGTTCACAGGAATTTTTCCCCAACAGCTCTAGAGAAATTAATTGTTACTTAGCCTTCAAACCATATTCAGCTTTTAAGTGTTCCTACCAACCAACCTTTTTATGTATAATTAAGTGCATTCTTGTCCTTATTCCTATTTCATCTTCAGTGTTACCTTTGCATGCCTCTAATTCCATGCCTGTTTTACCCTGCAATGCACCATTTTCAAGCCTTTATTCTCTGAATCCCTTGTGTTCCCCGTAATCACCATGTCCCCTTTGCCAGAGGATATCCTGATCTCTCCTTTCACACACCAATTTCCCCCCTTGATTCCCAAGTCGGATTTAAAAAAACTAAATCCCCTCCTCGGAGCAAGGCTGCGTGTGCCACTATTAGCCCTAACAAACTCTTCAGCAAAATTCTGATTTTTGGAAGAATATCTTCTTCAGCACTGTGTGGATTTGCACAAAAAGCAGCAGCAGATTTCTTTTAATCATGGCAGACAAAACGCTTTCTCCCAAGCACTGGTGTAGCTAGCAACCTAGGAGTTGTCAGCACTGTAAGAGTCAACTACCAGGAGAAAAGTATTTTAATATGCAAAAATAGTTGTTTCTTTCCACTTCAATCCACACTAGATGATTATAGCCAAGTGAAGATAAGATGATTAGGCTGGACAGGACACAACTCACAAAACCTTTACCATATACAGCAAATCTACTTTGCAGTCCCACTTATGATTATTTAGGGAAAAGACAGTTTTAGGACAAAAAATAGCAATCTAAACCTATCCGGGGACTTCAAATACACCCTGGGTGTCACTGTGCTACAGGATGCAAGCTGATGGCTAAGTTAAAAAGACCTTTGAAATTTGTCCTTAAAGACCTGAGAAGTCGCCTCCTGCTGCTTCTCAACCATCTCAGCTGACACCAGCCCTCACCCTGTCAAGGTCCCACACAAGGACCTGGGAGAGCACATGGAGGAAGAAAGAGGCCTTTCTTGGTCAAAAATTTCACAACTGTACAACTCTGACCAAATTAGATAGGAGACATAGCCTGGCTGCTTTTAGGGTATGCTGCAAGCAATTACTTATTCCAGCTACTCTATTTTGGAACCTCACATCATATCTTCCTATCTGTTACCCTTTTGTCTCCTTCACCCTTATTTGCTGTGGGCTGGTAGCTTATGGGATCACTCCATACAGGTCAAGTGGTTCCCTTGGTAACAGAAAATTTGTTCTCCTGTCAGAATTTTTCTGTTTGTTAGGTTATTTTTCTGTCTATTTTCTGGTTGGTTTTGTTCGGGTTCTATTTTTTATTTATGGGGTGGTTTTTGTTCATGTTTTTGGTTTTGTTTGCTGCTGGTTTTTATTTCCCCCCCCCCCCCCCTTTTTTTTTAATTTCTTTAAAGGAGTTTAACTACATATTTTGAGTTTACTTTGTTTTTTCTCACCCCCACCTCCTTTTGTGTTTAAGGTTTCAATAGATTGTATTTATAGCGCTTGGATATGCAGTAGGAGAAACTGATGCATCTGAAGTTCACTACAACTCTTCAGCATGAACAACGTCCAGAAATATCCGCTCACATCATCTTGTTTATTAAGAATTTAAATGAGCTCTTTAGTACTGGGAGTGTCCAGGGTTACACATATGCAGTGGTGGTGGGGAAGCAGAACAAAACCAAAGCTACAAAGTAAAATCTATTTCAGAACATATTTGACAGAGTAAATGCTGCAGAGGTGAACCATCTGTCCCTGCCACCCAACCCCAATTAGATCTGAGAATAATTTAAATCAAAATACAACCCAATAAACATTTCCTACATGATGGGGGGGTGGGGAGGAAGATGGAGAAAGAAGAAAGCCAAACAAAACAGCCCTCTCTTTACTCTGCACTTTCAAGTTAGCTGCATAACCGAGAAAAGAGCTAGCTTTTGTGCATGGAAGCTTGCAAGCAGAAACATTTGCTGTCATTACTTACCAACCGGGTTGCAACTGCAGGGCAGACATCCCTCCTCACTCCCCAGTCGATAGAAGCTGTCCCTGCACCTTTCACAGTGGGCACCATCGGTGTTATCTGAGCAGCCTGTGCAGTGGCCCCCATGGCCCGTCGAGCGGTACAGCTCAGGGTCAAAGTAGCACTCCTGTGACCTCCCATTGCAGTCACAAGCTGCGAAGAAAGAGTACCATCAGGAAACTGCATGTGCAGCTGTCTGACCCCAGTCACAAAACCCACTACACAACGCTTGATACAAAGTTGTAGGGGAGCTGGAGTAAGAGCCTTTAACTATCCCGAGACTTGTTTGTGCATCAATGAGAAGAAAAAGTGGGAAGTATGTTTTCATGGTGGTTAAATGTAAGGAGGGGGAAGGAAGGCTGTAACAATGAAACAGGCTCTTTGAGACCATTCTCATCTACATCCAGTAGATAAGCATTTTCTATCCCACTCCCTTCCATATCAGGCTGTCATTTGCAGCCAAAATGCCACCCTCCCACAGAACAACACTGATGTCATGCAAACAAGCATGAAAAGATAACAGTGAGGCTGACTCCATGCTGTAAGTAGAATTTATCCCCTGGATTACAAATCTGCTCTGTTTAGGCAGCAGGAGACGTGGGTTTCACCAGTCTGTTAAGGGAACCACAGGTCTTGACCAGACAGCTGGGACCAATCAACACACACAGAGGTCAGACAGGAAGAAAGCTTTTCTGTCTGAAAAACCTTCCCCATAAAGTAAACTACCAGGAGCTGTGGTCTGTGACATGCAATCAAGCAAAATAAATTGGCATTCCATCAGAGATCCACATTTGTGGTCAAGTACTGTTGCAACAGCCTCAAAATTGGATGAAATAGTCGACAAGTAATTGTAAAAACTTAACAACCCAAATACAAGAGGAAGTCATCGGATGCTAAATGTGGAGCTTCTTAATGGGCAATTATACTCCAGCAAACTAAATATTTTTGTTTCCTATAGATCCCATAAAGTACAAGCCTGTACATTTTTGTGGCACACCTCATTACTAACGGTTGCTCCCATCTTTCTCCAGAAGGAGATGCCCCTTTCTAGGGATCTAGATAGGTACTATAAGATACGAGTGGAATAACCAGCAGTCCCACAAAATCTCTGCTGAAAAACACCAGAACTGTGCTTAACCCTGGCAAACAACTGAGATAACTTAAAATCATGCAGGGCCAGCTTCTGGATGCCAACAGAGGCAGGGACCTAACCCCCGAGAGATTTTTTTCCCCCTCAAGCATGGCCACACATACGCAAGCATTCATTGGCACTCTCTGCTGTTGCTCTCCTCCATGGACGGTCATTGAAGAAAGGAAGACACTTTTCACAGTCGACCCCAAAGGTGTTGTGCTTGCAGTTGCAAACCAGCTTCCCGAGCTCGTTCTTCATGCACTCACTCGCATGCCCGTTACATTTGCATCTGGTTAAAGAGAGACAAGGAACAGGTATTTAAACTCCAGGGATCCAGGTCATTCACAGAGCAATCCCAAAACAGAGCCCAGATCTGAAAATCTGAGATGAAACAAATGCAGATAGTCACAACAAAACTGAGGACACAACTACTGTTGTTAGCCTGGAAGAAGCTCCATAGAGATCCTATTGAGGCTTTTCAGTATCTAAAGGCAGCTTACAAGAAAGATGGAGAGAGACTTTTTATGAGGGCCTGTAGTGACAGGACAAGGGGCAACAATTTCTAACTGAAATCTAAGCTTACTGGACATATGTTTGGACATACGGAAGAAATGTTTTACAATGAGGGTGGTTAGACACTGGAACAGGTTGCCCAGAGAAGCAGTGGATGCCCCATCCCTGGAAGTGTTCAAGGCCAGGCTGGAAGGCGCTTCAACCAGCCTGATGTAGTGAAAGATGTCCCTGCCCACAGAAGGGGGCTAGATGATGACTGAAAGCCCCTTCCATCTCAAACCATTTTGTGAAACAAATAGGTGTAGCATGCTCGGGGTAGCCATTTAGAAATGTGAAAATGTTAACTCTTTTGCAGTCTGACAGACTGCAAAACAGAGTAAGCTGACCAGGAGAAACAAAAATTCTATTGGTGTTACGTTAGTAAATTCTTTGTAGCTCCTCTCTCATGAGAGCCCAGGAAATGGTATGTATGCTGGCTGTGTGCTACTGCTGTTATCAGTAAAATTAAATAGTGCAGAAAGAGACTAAAACAGAAGCCCAGGGACCTCAACAGACTGGTAGTGCAGCCAGTGCAAATCCCCAAGTTGTGAAAGCCCTGTCTCAGGACTGCTCTCTGCGAACAGTTCAAAACACTGTGCTGGTCTTAGCTCTATTTATGAAAACATTTTATAGTCAACAACTTAAGATTTAAGCGTTCTGCAATACCCTTTGGCAAAAGGAACAGACAACCATGGTATCATACAATGTTTCAGATCTTCATATAAGACAGCTCCCAAAAATACTCCCAAAAATGTGCAGCAGACACTTTGAGATTTTCTACTTACTGTTATTCTAGGCTACAGCTATAGGTCAAGACCAATTAATAACACATTAAAAATCACACAAAGTGCAGGACAGAAAAAATTTGGGAATTCTTGGGGTTTTTTCCCCACTCTTTTCACTCTCTGCTCCCCCAAATCACTTAACATTTAATGTACTGCTACGGGGTGGGGGAAGCAGAAAAATCAATCTCTGTCTGCCCTGAAATTATAGCCACAAGAGGTTATACACAGTATTTGCAAGTTTAATAACATTCATTCTGCTGCATTTTTGGTTTAGGACAATTAATAGAGACTAGAGCCTAGTGGTACCATGCAAGCATAATCAAAGTCTTTAAAGTACTCTAGTAATCCTGACCAAAATAAGTACAAAAGTTTATTGTTTACTCACCTACCACCCACAGCAAAATCAGAAATTGCATAGTAATACGACTTAAGAACTTTCGGATCATTGAAAACTTCATCTCCAAATGTATTCAGACGATTGAGGGTCACTCTAATATCTGTAGCTGTCACCCATTCCTAGAGCAGACATAAATCCCATCAGATTATAAGCATTCAACATTCCCCTCAAGAGCATACCAGTGGTGTCTCACTAGCAGTTCTATTTACAAAGTCATTCATCAATCAGAAAGTTCCTTCCTTATCATCTTCCCCTTTGCACCTTGAAAGCCAACATGTCCCTTCCCAAAAAGCCTTACACCACACCCTCTTGCTTTGAATGTGTTTTCCAGACCCTGTTCCTCTCTGGATACCCTTTCCAATGTCTCTTTGCATCTTTCTCTGCTCTCAACTAGGAAGCAGTGGGTAACCTCTCCAGCAAAAAGTGCAGTGCAGACAATTATGCAAGCTTGTTAATTGTTCATAGCTATCTGATTACAATTTTCCTGCAAAGATATACAGCACTAACAGAATAAGCTTTAGGGTACACTTGCCTGCATACATACCCCAGCAAACAAAAAGACAGTCAGACAGATGAATGAGGCTGGGGAAGGTGGAGGAAGAAAAACAGACAGGCAGATCTAACTTACAACATAAGAGCTTTTAATAATATTTACACAGCATTTTCAACAAACCACTCTACCCTCCCCCCAGCAACAGACAGTAAGTGTAGCTTGTCCCCAAATTTCACATCACCTTCAACCAGTAACTGTCATTAGTACCTCCTTGTTTTCATTACAGCTTTCGCAATGCCTTTTTCCTTCAAATACCATAAAAACACCAGAAAAATATCCCTGTATGTACACCCATGCTGCAGCTGTGTCACTGCTTAGCTAGCACAGTAAGATTTATTGAATTACAAACACTGGCACAAACACATGGAAATGCTGAGCACAAAATACACGTTTGCTTCCATTGTGAAAGGCAGTGCCAGGGGCTTGTACATGTTTTAGGAAACTGGCAGTCACGTCTCTATTCCTCACATAGATAAGTTTATCAGAAAATCATACACCATTCACTATTTTCAAATCTCTCCATTCATCTTAATGATTAGATCCTGTTTTCTGCAAGAGCTAGCTACACCAACAAGGTGGCCAAACTAGTTCTTTTCCATTTCAGGAGTTCCTCTCCCTTTCCCATTAATCTTTATTTTCCATTCGCAGAAGCAAGTCCCACCAGATTCTGCTCTCCTGCCTGCTGGATCAGAGACAAGTAAGCCCCGAGCCTGCTGAGTGCTCATGTCTCGGTCTTTTCCTGCTATTTTAAGAGGAAAAGGAAGAAGTGATGATCACAGTTCTGAAAGGAAGGAGACAAGCCCCAGGGGGGCAAACTCCACAACTTTAGCTCCTTGTTGCAATATAAGCTGGAGAAGTCATCAACCAGAATACAGAAAACACCAAGTAAATCAGATGAAATTGGTGCTCCTACTATGCTCCTGATCACTGTCCAACTGGTTAGGGTTTCCAATAACCCCCAGAAGAATCCTACATTTCTTAAATTTTTGTGTTCAAAATACACATGCAGATGCATCAAATACTCATTTGAATTAGGCTTTACCTTCTTCTGTCCTTATATCTGAAAAAGCAAAATGCCCACAACTGCTGCCTGAACAGGGAGAGATTCACACCAATCCTCTAAGTACTTCAGTGATTCCCAATGACAAATCATCCTTAATGCCATTAATTTTGGGTTTTGTACCAACAATAAAGCCAAGAATTCAACTCTTCCTTCCAAAGTGTCTGTTTGGATTGTCCATCTCAACTGACCTCTGCAAGGGCCTGTCAGTATGAATAAAAGCTGTAGTACAGCCCACAGTTGGCACAAAGCCAACATCCACAATGAACAGAAAGGAAGACTCAAGTCAGACCACCTGATTGGCTTAGTCCTGTTCACATACCTGTAGCACGGGGCTGTTATCAAAGTTATAGGCACTGGGACGTCCCTCCAGTGTTGAGAATGCCACATTGCCTCCAGTGAGGGGGGAGATGTCACTGAACTCATCCGTACAGAGTGCCTGCTGCTCATCCTCTCCAGTCCGAATAAAGCCACGATTGACTTTGTGATACGTGCTCTCACAGGAGCCACTGTAATACTGGTAGGGCACCCACGGGCCATCTTCCCTGGTGCGTTTGTAGATTGCAAAGCTCTCTGGCCGACTGGTATGAAACTTCAGACGTACGTATGTGATGTCGAAGGCCTTTCCTGTGGATGAGAGAAGACAGACATGAGAAAGACTCAAACAACTTAAACCAGAAAGAACAAAAAGAGCTGCACTGCAATTCTCTCTTTAAAGATACATCTCCTCTAGTACTATCCAGCAGGATGAGCAGTGTCCAGTAGCACCAGAAGTATCTCTTCCAGTCCAACATACTGGAAGGCAAGGTGAAAGAATTGAAGGCAGAAGTTGAGGGCAGGCTGAGTGGATAAACAAACAGACCTAGAGACTTCTGTGCAACCAAAGAGACATCTGAAGCTGCAATTCTCTTCTGCAGACATCACCAACAGTGTCCTTATCCCTGTACACAACACATTACATCAGACCCGCGAACAGTTTGTGTGGATCTAAGGCCAGGTCCAAGTTAATCATGCCATTTGATAATATCTCTTCCAAATATATTTATGAGAGAAACAGTATTAGCCAGAGGCAAGAGCCACACTGTAGAGACTATTTTCTCTTTCTACTTTCTCCTTAAGTAGACAATATCCCAGACTCTTTCTGCTATTCATGAAGCCTTTCCTCCAGCACTGAACTACTGAGTATACCCTCTTCTACACATTCCCCGGGAAAGAGAAAATAAATTTTCTGAACTATATAATTAAAGTAACCAAGACATTTTTCAGATAAAGCGTAATGCTTTACAAGCTAGCCATGTTCTGCCCCTCCTAGAAGGATAAATGTAAGCTCACCTTCTTGCCCTCTATTCATCTCCTGACAGGTTCGTGGCAATCAGCAGATCATCCTCCCTCATGGATTCTTCTCCAGTGACTTGAGTATCTACCCCTACGCATGTAAACCAACTGTCCAGGGGATTCACATCCCTGAGAAAACCCATTAGGGGAAACAGGACCATAGCATGCTTCAGCCACCTTCTTCCACCATCCCCACTAACTGGGGGCATGTTCCCAAGAGAAGATACAGCTGCATGCCAGCTGTTCTTGCTCTGCTTTGGCAAGCAGCCTGTGTATGATCAGGACACCCTGGTACACGTAGGGAACTTGCTGAAACACCATGAGGTTTGTTTGGAACAAAACTTTGGGTTTTTAGTCCTGCCATGCTTTTACGCTCCCACCACTTCCAAGAAAAACACTGCTCTAAGCAGAGGTTGCAGCCATCACTGGTCTCCTCACCGACCAAGAAAAAAAACAAAAAAACCAAAAAAAACAACAACAAACCCCACACCAAAAAGCTACTAGAGGAGTTTCAACTGGTTGACAAACAGGATTTTTCCACCTGAAGAAGTCACACAGATTTAACCTTAACTTATAAAATTAATTAACTCCACCGTGTTAAAATTAGACATGAGGCTTTGAACCTGCTGAAGAGTGGTCACTTAGGTTAAAGCAAAGCAGATGGTACCAGGCAACAGGGACATTGTACTTCTCAAAGTACACAGCAAAACCTGGTGGCAATGAATGAGGTCATGAACAAGTTTTCACTCACATGACACCCATCCCTTAGACTGGGACCAGTCTGTGTTAGACATGTCACACCCAGACCTTGGCTGGCACAAGGGAGGAACCTTTGTCCTTTCTGGCTGATGGAAACACTAAAATAGCAGAAGCGGCAAACATAAAGGGTCCAGAAATTAACATATGGTGGGTGGGGAACGCGGAAACAAAAAAGAAAGTAAAAATCAAAGACATACGGCACTCAAAACCCTTAACCCTACATGTCCCAAGGAAAAAAAGACCACCAATCTTGTGTTTAAAGCCAAAAAGATCTGCCAATACTCCAATCTACCAAAAAGTACTGTGCTTGACAATCAAGACAGCTGGGGTGTTGCACAGAGATACAAACTCGTCAATACTTCTCACAAAATACCCTTTCCTATTTATACCATGTGTGAGGTTACAGATGAGCCAAGCACAAGACTGGAAGCTAGACATTCACAATCTATGGCTCTCGCTAAATACTAGCTCACTGTTGGTTTGGGGTCAAGTTATTTAATGCGATCTCCTTACCCACAAAACACAGGCAAAAAGCAATCACACCATTAATGCCAAACTGCTTCCACGAGGGCTAAAAACTCAAAGGACCAAAGCTTAACATTGTAATGCAGCTTAGGCATACCCTCCCTTTGCTGCCCAACACAAGAGATTAATCTTGTTTCCATTTATTTGGAAGCATTTTTCTTATGAATCTCAACTCAAGAAGCAGGTATCGTTACATACAAATCAGTCTCTCACAGGTTTCCCATTCCTTTTGCTATGTCTCTTCCCCAGAAGAAAGCTCATCCCTCACAAAGTATGTTTCAGAGGTGAAGAACATGCACATGCAGAAACTTAAGGTGACCACGCCAGACTCACCGATAGGCCAGACATGCACAAGTATCTTTTTCAGGCCCATGGTAAACAAGCCCAGGATATGCTCCCCATCTTTTTCAAAGGCAAGGAGTCCCAGAAGCAAATGCCTCCTCTTTCCTCTGCAGGAAAACCCTAGTATACATGTTGACTAGCAACTTGTCAACCCAAGAACTTCCCAAACACCTTGGATGAGCAGAAACTAAAACCAGACCTGTTATCATGGCTTTATCACTAATGAAACTGTCATCAGCTTTATAAGAAAGTTTTAGTTTTCTTTGAGCTCATGTGCTAAAATAAAACACATTATGAGGCCGAAAGTCTGCTCTGGTGGGATGTCTTCGGACAATTTTCGTGATAAGTGAAAATAGTGAAGACATAAGGCAAGAGCAGCCATTCCATAAATCAACAGGAGGAAAAAAACCAAACAAACAAGCAAAAAATCACAAGAGACCCAACAGCATGAAGATCATTCAATTAAATTGTGTCAGCTGAATTGCCAAGAACAGCCTGCTACTTTGACCTGAGTGGGTTAGTTTTCTCCTACTACTACTGCATTCTTCTAGCGTAAAGCAAAAACCCTGCATTCAGGCTTCATCAAGATGACTTCTGGGAGGAAATGCTTTGAAAGAATCCTGGGAATGAAGAAGAGGCCAGGCATGTGCTCTCACTTCACACACACAACTTTCTGCTCTAACAGAAAGGCCAGGTCACAGCCTGCACGTCCCGGAAAGGAACTACTTTTTTTCCTCTCCACAGTCTCTGATCCTACAGCTCCTTGGAAAAACTGCAGCTCAGCTAAAAGGCACAACACGTGCAAATTGCAGTCTGTGGAGCACTAAAACATTTTCCAAAGAGTCCCTTGTGCTAAATGGAAAGGACTCACCCTTTTTCATGTTCAGTTTTACATGGCAGGCCAAAGAAAACACATTGAAAACCCTCCCAACCGAGCAACCCAGGAGAAAAAGACATTTACTTCAGCTGGCAGTGTAACTACTTGAGAAATCCTGTTAATGGCATTAAACAGGAATGCAGTTAATGCGCACAGAGTGGCTGTGCGCTACTGCCGTATCAGCTTGCCATGGATAAATACTGCTGCAACAACAGAGTTTACCCAAGACCAGCTGACACAGTGTTGAAATGTGTTTCCCCAACGTTCATACTGAACATAAAAGCTGCGCTTAGCAGCCTGGCAGCTAGCAGGGCTCTTCAAGGTTGCAGAACCTTTTTCTAGCAAAGATAAGCCACCTAGGTTGCTTTCAAGTCTCACAGAGCTAAATAAACATATACCTCTATTACACTGACAAATGGTGACAGCAATAACCAGGTGAAAGGCAGTTTTAAACATTTCATTTAGAAGACAAAAAGCCATTGTTCTCCTGTTCCTAGGAGCTGGTAATTATTTTGATCTCTGTTTGGCTTAGAAGTGTCTGATAGTGTCAAGTATCAGACAGTATTTCCTCTGTGTACTGTATAGTGGCAGATGTATTTTGCAGGAAGAGCTTCAAATGTTTGTAAAAGTTTGTTAGTAAAAAGAAGACACATGGTAATTAACAACCATGAGCTCAGCACTTTAGGAGTGCAACCTGACAAGTCTTTAAAGCATCCAGAACTCAGAATCATGAGCTGCACATTTTAAAACTGCATCTTTTCTGAGGCATGAAGCTGTTCACCAGCAAATGACAAGGTGACAAAATAACCAGCCCCTTTTGATAATGCAGGGTGATCTGGAAAACCCTGTAATATCTTTCTCTAAAGTAAGCAAGCACACCTATAAGCCTTCAAGACAGTACTGGAATTACACATTCAACTAAGCGAGCAAGTCTGAGTGCCTGCAGAGGCAGCAGCAGCAGCATTGGAAAAGTTCAGCCTTATTAAATGCAGGGGATGCTTCCCCAACAACCTGCTCACATTTTCAGGCTGACCACAGCTACCAGATGTCATCAGCAATTAAAGCCCTTCCTCAGCAGGGTTATCACCCAACTCTAACCCAAGTTCCACCAGGAAATGCACCATGCTGAAAACCATGAAGATAGACTGGAAAAATGCAAGCAAATGCTATTTAGATCTTCAGAAAATCCTCCCTTTTCCCACAAGTTAGGAATTCATCCCTATACACAAAAGGCCTCCTTGTATTCAGACCCTCAGAACGGATGGATAATTTACATCAGGAAAATGTCCCGCCAGCTGGCACGCTGACTACAAGCACTGAATTGTGAGCAGATGCCTGCATGAGATAAGCCCAGACAACACTCACCTCCTTCAACATTGGTCCACTTGCATCACATGCATGCAGCAGGAAACCACGCTACTTCTTCTGCACTCTGCAATCCCTCAGTGTATCCTCCCAGCAGTGAGCTTTAAAACACAACTGCTGAGTTTTGCTGCCCAGGTAGACAAAAAGAAAAAAAAAATCTACCCAAGAAGATTGTATTGTGGAAAGCACCAATCTTTCAGCAAACGTCACTGAACAGTAACCAAATGGTTAAACTTTGCTCTGTTTCTCTTTGGATTTGCTCCTTTTTCAAGGCAGCTTTTTTCACCCAGATACTGGCTAACAACCTGCTTCTAAGTAAAGGTTAAAAGAACTGACAACCAACCGCTAAAAAAATACAACCTATTTACTATTTTTTTTATTTAATTTCATTTCCATTTTGCAGTGACAGGGCAGAGAGCAACCA